ACAGAAAAGTTATGGATATATAACATTAAGTTATTTGTATTTAATGTTTCTCATTTATCCTCCCGCATTAGGGTAACCAGATGTCTTGATTTTATAGAGACAGTCCCAATATTTGGGTCTTTTTCTTATATAGGCTCCTATTACCCCTTCCTGTCCCGATTTTTCACATTTGCTGTCTGATCACCCTATCCCGCATATGTAGAGATGGTCAGACATAGTGTTAGACTGTCCTTTTATTTTGTTCTTCATAGATTTGCAAAATTATCCGTAAGGCGATTCATCATAACTCTTGTACTTACTAATTGGAGTACATATTCCTATAACTCTAACCATATACTCCCTGTGATCTAAAGAGTTTCTTCCTCAAAAAACTGCATGATATTTTTGCAGATAGCATCTGATATTTTTAATGATAGCAATTGCAAGTACCATTACCGTGTATCTTTGCATTTGTACAGCAAATCAGGTTCCATATCAGTCATTGACATTCTCAGAATATATTGCTCCACGGATCCACCATCTTGGGGTCACGCACTTATCTGTGCTGTGCAGACCCCGGGAACACTGAAAGCTGTTAGCCCAACACCACTCACATGGGGTTAAAGTTAGACATGTATTGATGTATTTTGTTGGGCTATAGGTCTGGGGTAAAATTTTCAAAAGTGTGTAAGAAGCATAGGAGCCTAAGTCCCATTTTCAAAAGAGACTTAGGCACTCAGGAGCTTAAGTCTCTTTGAGTTTCAATGGTATTTACGCCCCTGTAACGAGGTTCACTCACTGCTGAGGCACCTCCTTGTGGCTGGGTCTGGGGATTAGCTCTGACTTCCTTACTCTCAGTTCACGCTGTGGCCCTCCAGCCACGTCACTGTACAGTTTTCCCCTTCCAGGGTATCAAAGTCTCACCAGACTAGCTGATCAGGTGTCATTCCAGGCAGTCTTTCCATTCAAGACTGTGCTACTTTCCCCACAGCTGGTAGGGGAACCCAGACCCAACCACTATTCCAAGTTCCAGTCCAAGGATCCTACAATGAGCAGCCAAGGTCAGCACTTTCTCAAGCATTGCTGCCGCTTCCCTGGTCTTCTTCCTACGCTGCCCTCTGCAGGCCTCCTTCTCTACCACCTCTCTGGGTAAACCCTTCCCTCAGGATGAGGATCCCAGGGCTTCCGCTCCGCCCAGTTTCCTGCTCTCCTCACTGTGCCCGGAGAGTGACTGCAGACTTTCACACTGCCACCCTTTTCTACTCTCCCTTCCTGGCTTTATAAAAGCCCTGCCTACTCCTGCCAAGGTGGGTTCCATCTTCAATTAGTGCTTGTCCTCCAGCCTAACTCCCCGCACCCCGCAAGTGCAGTCTATAAGATTAATTAGCCCATCCAGTACTTCAAAGGTGGTGTGGGTTGAGCACCCTATCACATACTCTCCCCCTCAAGATTGCAATCCTCCGGGGTATGGATGCCTCCTACCCTGCGCGTCTGCCGAAGCTGGGCTCACAGGTCATCCCACTCCTGCTCTAGTTCACCTGCTCAGAGAAGCAGTTTGCCCTTCTGCTGGTACTTTCCCCTCTGGAACTGTAGGTCTTGTACAGCTACTTGTAAAGTCTGCTCCATGGCTATCAATTTCTCTTGTAGCCTCTTCTCGTGCTCTGCAGACACCTTCAAAACCCTCTCCCTGAGCACCTGAGTTCCCACTGTATACTGACTGGTCTCACTGTCTACCTCACCTCCTTCAGGTGAGTCTTTGCAGGTGCCTTTCTCTCCTCCAGTTCTTTCTCACCCGCTATCATCACTGCCCCTTCAGCTTTCTCTATGACAGTTGCACACGCTGAAGTCTACTAACCCTTTCTTCCAGCCCTTAGTCAGGACCCTGCCCTTCCCTCGGCCGTGGTTCTGCTCTTTGTCAGGGCAACTCCCTAATTCCCCAAAGGAAAAACAAGCACAAGCCCTTTTCTTCTCTCTCAACAAGTGGGACGCCTCAGGGCTTTCCTGTCTTCCTGCCTTCAGGGTAGGGCTTCTCGTCTCCATCCCTGGAGGCACATCCACTTTTAATGTATCCCTTCTGATCACAGACATAGCACTACCTTGGCCGGGCTTCTGACCTCCTGGCCCGGAACCTCTTTTCCATTCTCTGCCCCTTTGGCCCCTGCTCGCTTCCTGGAGAATTTTAAGTAAATATTGCTGCTGTTCAGCTAACTTCATCAAATAACCCTGTAGGTATATCTGCACCTCCCATTGTCTTCACTGGTTCTCCAGGGCCTGCGAAAGTAGGGCTCGGATCAGGGGTGCAGGAACAATTTGCATAGTGGGGGTGCTGAGAGCCATTGAACCAAACCATAAACTCTGTATCTGATGGAAACCACTTCAAGCCATGAGGTGCAGCAGTACCCCAGTACTCCTAGTTCCAGCACCTCTGGTTTGGATTCCTCTCTGTTGCCTGTCGGTCCCCTTCAGGGGGCGTGTTTAAATCTGGGGACCAGCTCAGGAGAGTATATCTGCCCTCTGCAAAGAAGGCCCCCATACACGGTGGCTCCATAGTCCCTTTTTTCCTGTCCTTTTCCTACTATGGGTCTTCACACTTCCCTTGTCCTCAAGCTTAAGTCTCTCTCCAGATGCAGCCTATGGGTTAATTAGCCCCTTCTGAGCCACCGTATCCCCCTTCAGGGGTGATGTGAGGAGAACACCCCCTCACAGCTCCTAAGCCACTAAATTGCTTTTGAAAATTGTACACCTCCCCAGAAGCTGTAACTGCCCATAAAACCATCTGGTACCTGCACATGGAGGTTACTTTAAATCAGGCCTTCATGTACTCAATATTCAGTCAAAACAATCTTTGCATTTAGGTCCCTCCTTGGACTACCTATAGTCAGGATTATGTATGAAAAGGTGTCATTCTCTCAGTAAGAATTTGCTTAATGTTGTGTAAAAGAGCTGCTAAGGTGGGGGATCACGGGAGGTAGTGGGAGGACAGGGACTAAGACACCATCTTCAGTGACAGAAAATGCAGCTAACTATTCCCTAAAACTTCCAAAGGCGGGCACGGTACTTTTAAGGAGGACTACGGTAAGATTCCAATATCTGTCTATTTTCTGCATATCATCATGAAGTCAGTGAGTTTTGGATCAGGCCCTAAATGAATTTTTAAAAAGTAATTTTTACCACACACTATAAATACTGCACTTGTTATTTTCTGGCACTGCCGATGTGGCAATGTTTGCTATTGAGGCACGCTACCCCGCTTGATAGGAACAATGAGTCACACGGATTTCCTGAGGAGTAACTTCCAGAGGCAGAGTGTGAGGTTTCTCGATTCCCAACAATACCAATTAGATGGTCCCCTGACACAAACAAACCTCTAAAAAAAAAAACAACAACTTTCACTAAAATAACTGTATGCCTGCTGGCTGGATTCAAAATAAATCACTGCCTTCTTTAAATAATCCAAACAGAATTCATCTGGGAGTCTGCATAGCAACACTGCTAATGAGCCAGCCTGTCCTATCTAACAACTGTTGATATGTAAGACGTGGCTTCCAGAGAATTCAATGAGATGAGAAGACTGTACCAAATGAAAGCTGCAAAGGGGGTTGATTTCATACCACTCCTTGATCAGACATGTACAGATTAGAACTGGAAACCAGATTCAGAGGGTAGCTTCCTTTCAAACACTTCCTGACAAAACCATTGCAAACTCTGATGGGCATTTTGTGATTTAAGAACTCAATTTATACTTTTTAGGAATCCTTGCTTTATCAATACAATGCATTGCTTGGTTATTCAGATCTAGTTTAAAAAGCAAATTAAGGTTTCAAAATGGAAACTAGCAGCCTGGGGCTCTCCCTTGATTTGAAAAGAAATGCACATGAGCTCAGATAAGTGATTAAAGAAAATATTTTCTTTATGTTTCATATGGCCCCTCAGGTGCATTCCGTCATGGTGGCCTGCTCCACTAAAGGCAGCACACTTACAGGTGTGGGTAGGGTTCTAGAGATAAAGTAATTTGCTTGATTATGATACCATATTATACTGCTTTGAATGGACAAATAAATGTGGCTGTAAATATACCACTTATAATATTATACATAAAAGACCTAAAGCAACAAAATCTAACAAGGTGACCAATCCTGTGAAATGCTGAGCTCCCTCAATTCAACAGGAGTGTAGAGTCACAGAACATTGCTGGATCAGGCCCTAGGCAAGTAGAATCATAGAACTGGAAGGGACCTCAAGAGGTCATCTAGTCCAGTCCCCTGCACTCAAGGCAGGACTAAGTATTATCTAGACCATCCGTGACAGGTGTTTGTCCAACCTGCTCTTAAAAATCCCCAATGATGGAGATTCCCCCACCTCCCTCGGCAATTTATTCCAGTGCTTAACCACTCTGACAGTTAGGAAGTTTTTCCTGATGTCCAACCTAAACTGTCCTTGCTGCAATTTAAGCCCATTGCTTCTTGTCCTATCCTCAGAGGTTAAGAAAAACAATTTTTCTCCCTCCTCCTTGTAATAACCTTTTATGTACTTGGAAACTGTTATCATGTCCCCCCCCCCAGTCTTCTCTTCTCCAGACTACACAAACCCAATTTTTTCAATCTTCCCTCATAGGTCATGTTTTCTAGACCGTTAGTCATTTTTGTTGCTTTTCTCTGGACATTCTCCAGTTTTTCCACATCTTTCCTGAAATGTGGCACCCAGAACTGGACACAATACTCCAGTTGAGGCCTAATCAGCACGGAGTAGAGCGGAAGAATTACTTCTTGTGTCTTGCTTACAATACTCCTGCTAATACATCCCAGAATGATGTTTGCTTTTTTTGCAACAGCGTTACACTGTTGACTCATATTTAGCTTGTGATCCACTATGACCCCCAGATCCCTTTCATGAGCATGAGCAAGTATCATGAGCATGAAATTTTACCATGTAAACTTAGAATGAGCATCCTATTGCAACAGTCTGATTAAAATAAATAAGAAGGGGAAGCAACTCCAAATCGGAAGTTAATTAAAACTTACATCCACTTCTCCTTGATCAATTACATAGAAGTTGTCTCCTTCGTCACCTGGAAGCAAAAATATAAATGATGATTGTTTTCATAATGTCTGGTGGATGGTTATACAAATAATTTCCAATCCCCATATTTGATTCTACACATATTTGCACAGGTTTGCAGAGCTGATTATTTAAAGAGAAAATCATGTCCTTAACATCCATGCCTCGTTTCGCTCATGAACAGAAATATCAAGAGTGATTATTTATATTTTTTTCTCAGTTGTATTAGTTTATCCATTTTGATTTATTTAAAATGAAGGCAAACACATTAGAAACTTTGAATACCCTCAGGATACTAAAGTCCTGCTTGACTTGCTCTAAGCTTGCAAGTAAGTTGCCAAGTCTGGTAACTATGGACACAATATAGTGAGGTGCTGAGCACTCTCAACGACCATTGAAAATATTTTCCACCTTTTATTACCCTGTGCCAGAGTCCGCCCCCTTTATTCATGCTGAGTAGTACTTTACTCCGTGAGTAGCCCCCATTTAAATCAATGTGTATACTTTTTTATTAGAATAATCTTTATTTATTTAGATTGTGGTAGCACCTAAGAGCCTTAGTCATGGACCAGGACACCATTATGCTAGGTGCTGGATTCTGCAGAATAAGACATTCCCGTGCTCCAAAGAGCTTACAATATAAATAAATACTTAGATACTTGTGGTATAGATACCTCTGCCTGTCAGCAAAGATGGTAACATCTCTGGCCCTATAATTTTCTGAACATCAGAAAGAGTGGCATAAATTACACAATCTGAGCAAATTTATAAGGAAAAAAGTATGGAAATTTACCCTGCTGTATGACCGTTTCTCCGGCAATGTGCATAACGGGGAACATGGCATCAAATATGTCACTATAAAAGAAAATAAACATCCACTGTTGAGTCAAACTTGTTCCTTATTGAGTCACTAGTACTGAAGTCACTCTGCTTTGTTAATCCTTCATTAACAGATTTTGCAAAAAAAAAGAAAAAGGTTAATTGCAGCAGCACATGGAGTCCCCAGCTGGCAAAACACCAGAAAAGCTAGTTCTGTGGAAGCCATAGTTTAAAACTAAGTCAGACAGTGACTCAACCCACTCATGCTATTTTGAAAGAACTTCCAAAATTTATGTGTACAGACCCATTCTTAAATTAAAGCATTCTACAAACTAGTCAGCTCATGCTTTTTATTCTCTAAGAATTTTCAAAAGACCTCAGTTCCCTTTTAGGCACCGTAAAGTGGTCAGATTTTCAAAACAGCCCAGTGTGTGTCACAATGGAAGCTGTTGGAAGCCCGAAATAGAACCACAGCACCTTTTGAAAATGAGGCTCCATTTTTACCAGCAAAGCCCATTGAACAAAGCAGGATGCATTCGGAAATATAAAGGACTAAATTAAGACAGCATAAGAGCTGGCAAGGGATTACACTTCCAGTGCAGAGGTAAATATATGAAGCCAAATTCTGACTTTAGTTACGCTCCGTGACTTTAGCAGAGTTACTAGTGTGACGAAAATTCGGCCAATGCTATGGAAACACTCAAGCAATACAAGAGCACTGCACTAATTCATCTTTCCCGAACTCTACACAGCACCATGATTTTAAACATATAAGGCACGCTTGTCACTTGCCCTTACACGTCCAGGCTGGGCGGTAAGGGACATAACCCCCCCCTCCACAATCACTTTAGGCTGCCTGCCCATGTTGGAGAGAGAGCAGGTTCCACAGAACCACTGCTTCCCCTCCCCACACAGGTGGAGGATGGGGAGCAAGGACTGGGTAGAGCTTGCACTATTCCCCCCCACCAATTCATCAGTGTAAAGGGCTGAAGGAAACCACTTCCCACCACCAGCATAGGGGAGGAATTGTGACTGGCTTCTCCTGGAGTGGTGCATCAACTTACTGCCCCACCCACAGAGTGAGACATACACTCTCTGTCTAGCCCATAAAATGGAGCAAATTCCTCTCAATCACAAATAAGTGAAAACAATGAAGAAATTTAAAAGGTTCATCAAAATAGCCAGGAAGTCGGCAACAAACCTGTGGTGGATTTCAATCCCTTATATGGGAAATGCACATTGTAAAATCCCATTATGAGCTTATTTCCTGTCCAACAGTTCCACAGTCCACTCAGATGCAGTTATAGGAAATGTTCACTCATTACTCAAGCAGGGCATATCTTTCCTCCTGAGCAGTCAGTACATTTCCACTGCTAGGGCTAGATGATGTGATTAGCATGCAGTCCTGTGTAGGGGGCAATGCAGAACTGCACCACACCTAGGGGAGAACTGGCAGGGACTGTGCCTCTCTCGGAGCTCCCCAGTGTGCCCACAGGTGGTGTACTCTCAGTAGCTCTGTCTTATGCTGGGGCCAGGTTGGGATCACGGAGCGTCAACTGGCTCCCTGGGTTACCCCCTCCTGTGTGCCCAGGCAGAGATCTAAGAGCCCACTTCTGCAAGATGTGGAGAGCTCTCACTAGAATTGAAGGCACTTTGTGCTTCAGAGGGTCAGGCCCTGAAAGATTATGCCACTAAATGGAGAAATCAGAACGTGGACACAAATAATCAAAAAGAAAATGTGACTGAACAGATTTGGAAACCATTTTTGGACTAAATACAGAGAAATAACCACGCACTATGTCAGCTTTTTATCTCTTGTTTGAAGGTTGTGTTTTATTTATATCTTAACAACTGACTGTACAAATAGTGGCTGATAAATTATGTATAGCACTGCACCCTTCTCCAAAATGGTTTGTTAACAGATTTCTGAACATCTCTTCCTTTTATCAAAAATGTTTTCAAACTCCTAGGTTAAAAACTACTGCTACAAAGATTGTCAAAGAAGTAATGAATTAGATTTTCAGAAATAACTGTTTAGCATTACTAAACTAATACTGCCCTGCTTAAATATACAGGAATACATTGTGTATTTTAACATGATCTTCTCTTTACTAAAGCAAATCTTTGATTTTTTAACAGAAACTTTATAAACACACATAATTGTGGGGTAAATGTTAGCAAGCAAGCAAGCAAGCAAGTCAACAAAACCAATGTTGATATTGATTTGCATTTCCAGACAGCAATATGTGGGTATAACTGATGGACAAATTTAAGTGATCAACCATTATGTGAATGTCATTGAAAATAGTTATTTACATTTCTGGTCCATCATGGAACTGTTGTTCCTAAGGTATACGGAAAGGCTGACATTTTCAAAAATGACTATGATTTTAAGTGTTTCAATTTTTGGATCCCCAATTTAAGACACATTAAATGGACCTGATTTTCAGAAAATGCTGAACATCCACCCTCTGAAAATCAGTCTCCTTTAACACGTCTCAAGTTGGGACCCCCAAAATTGAGGTACACAATACCTCACAAAGCCCTTCTGAAAATCTTGGCCTAATAACCTACCAAACTCATACCTTCATTGCACCAAAACTGACCTTTGATTTAATTTAGGCTACTATGGAATTGATGTTGAAATGACAGATATAATTTATTGATTTTGATTTACAACATACAAAATAGACTAAAATAAAAAGAAAAGTTTCCCTGAGAGAGCATGCCAATTATTTTTTAAGTTAAAAAGTTTGGTCATGATCTGTTCAAGCTGGCATCTGAAAATACAACACTAATTTTCTATCAATATATATTTTCATGTTCAATATACAATTTCATGCTAGAAAACCTGAGTAGGAGTGATGTGTAGGAAACAAAGCCGGTTTTAAAAAATAGATGGACTAAGGAAAACTAGTGGCACTCACTAAAGAGATAATATGGTCAAGGCCCAGATTTTGACCTTCTTCTTTTTGCTACAAAATGTACATGTTATTTTTAGAATGTTTCACAAGAGTCTTTTGTCCACGAAAGGCATAAACATAGAAGTGTTATAAACAGCCCTGCCTGTGTAGTAGAATTGTAACAGATGTGTGGAGGGGATCTGAATTTTTGTTTCCAAGTTGCTATTATTTATATATATTGAACATACACACACAAATTTCTCCAAACAAAATTTTTTATTAAAAAAACAGTCTGTGGTTGTTTAAGTGCAGACACTGAAGCACAGTAACACAATGATATAAAAAGCTAGGAAATCACTAGCTAAATCTTCACCCAAACTTTGAAACCTACTCCTGAACCATGATTTCATCTTCTCCATATTACAGTCTTTCCCTATCTACTGCTTCTACAGCACACGACTCCACTCACCACCTCTCCACCAAATGCTGACTCCAACCAAGTTTTTGAATGGTACGGAATGCTGAAGTAGATGGTTAATGTGCATGGGGTAGATTTTTACTCAATGCCTTTGTGTATCAGTGTGTGGTGTGGGAGAATTGCTAACACGGGGTATTACTTGTTTTTAAATGTATCCTTTGTAATGTGTTATTTAGGTGATGGAATCAGGATGTAGGGTTTCAGAGTAGCAGCCGTGTTATGTTTGGGTTTTTCAATTGCTGATATTGGTGGTTGGAGTTACAAGGCTGTCCATAAATTACATAACACATTAGAAGGTAGGTGGGTCCTTAATTTTGCATGTTTGTTTCAGTGTTACAAAGAGTTACAAGGGGCCGGTGGGTCTTGAAAATCTCCAGAAAATGTGTTATGTTATTTATGGACAACCCCTAAGATGGGGGGAGGGAAGAGGGATGCCCAGTGCCTCTGCATCCAGGCACCTACACCTGAAGGGTTCCTCCACCACTGCTGCCTCAGCTCCCTACACAATATTTCCCTCAAAGCTTCTTAGTTCACTCAACTCTAATGTCAATACTGCTTCTCCTCAGCCTTTTACTCCCCTGTCCCCAGGGGGAAAAGCTTTAGGTCTATTCAGTTGATCTTCCACAGTCTCTACTGGCTACCTCTTGAAAAGGTGAGTTCTTGTTGCTATGCCAGTTGGAGCCAAAACCAGTGCTCCAATCAAAAGGCTTTGGGGGCAGTTTTGGGCATGGAACCACTGATGCAGATGGGACTCTATGTACTTAAGGCTCCCATTGGCGCTTCAGGGAAAGACTGGCAGGACTCAGCCATCAATGATAAACTCCACAGAGGGTTATGCAGATTTAATTTTTAGTAACTTTGTGATAATAGTAATCTAAAACAGTAAATGAAATTACAAGCAAAGATTCTGAGCTGCACATAATATAAAACTTGATTATTAACTAGTCCAACAAGGTGAAGCTGAGGAATATGTTTAGACCTGAAATCTCTATCTATTCCATCAAAAAATGCCATCTGTCTTGTCTCAGAATATCAAAATTTAAAGGATTTTTTTTAAGGGTTGCAAATATCAAAGACTCACGGCAAGTGTTAACATGTCGAGGATTTCCATAAAGCATACAAGAGGATTGCAAACAACTTAAGTCAGATCTGAGACCAAAGGGCCTGATTTCTCTGTTGGCTTCCACCTTATATAAGTATTTACACCTGTACAAGGTGGGTCAATTTCACTGCTGCTGTACTGAGCAAAATTCCACTGAAGTCTTTGGAGCTGCACCCATTTACACCCGCAGAGAATTTGGCCCAGTGAATGCCAGGTGGGTATAACACACTACACCATTTTGATCTGGTAGTCTTTCACATCCGCCGGCCCAGGTGTAACGCACAACACAAGGTGAAAGGCAGTAGGCAGGAAGGCCTAAGAGATTTTCTATATAATGAAAAAAAAATGGTAAAAATAAATAATCTCATTTGCTGTTGCAATGAGGTTATTTTGAATCAACATAGAAAGTGAGAAAGGGGGGGAAAAAAGCAATGTCTACTGTAGGTAACGCAATTCTGGCAATAGACAATTGAGAACAAGCTTGTTAAAGCCAAGTGAGAGAACAGGATTTCAAAATCAGACATGGCAATGGCTATACAAGAAAACTATGGAA